TCCTCCTCCTCCTCCTCCTCCTCCTCCTTCCTGCTTGATTTCTTTTTGCTATTGAACTAGGATTGCTATTGAACTAACAGCAATTGTGTGCAACACAATGGTATGAATATTGATGTCAAAATGCATTTGAATTAGCAACATTTACAATGTAATCCCAGGCAGTGTTACACCCTTCTAAATCCATTGAAGTCTCTTGTTTTGAGAAGACTGGAATTGGGGTTATAAATGTATCTATCTAAGTATCTTCTCCTTCCTTTCTTTCAGGTCACATGTGCAAATTTAACCAGTGGTGGAAAATCAGAACTTCTAAAAACAGGCGGTTCCAAATCCACATTAAAGCACATATGGACAGAAAGCAGCAAAGACTTATCCATCAGCCGGCTGCTATCACAGACTTTTCGTGGCAAAGAGAATGATACAGATTTGAGCCTGCGGTATGATGCCCCAGAAACGTATACTGAGCAAGATCTCTGGGACTGGCTGAGGAACTCGACAGACCTTCAAGAGCCTCGACCCAGAGCAAAGAGACGGCCCATTGTCAAGACGGGAAAGTTTAAGAAAATGTTTGGCTGGGGTGATTTTCATTCCAACATCAAGACAGTGAAGTTAAACCTGTTGATAACTGGGAAAATAGTCGATCATGGAAATGGGACGTTTAGTGTTTACTTCAGGCATAATTCCACTGGCCAAGGGAATGTATCTGTCAGCTTGGTGCCCCCTACCAAAATAGTGGAGTTTGACTTGGCACAACAAACAGTGATTGATGCCAAAGATTCCAAGTCCTTTAACTGCCGCATCGAATACGAGAAGGTTGACAAAGCTACCAAGAACACGATCTGCAACTATGACCCGTCAAAAACATGTTATCAGGAGCAGACCCAAAGCCACGTGTCGTGGCTCTGTTCCAAGCCCTTTAAAGTAATCTGTATTTACATTTCATTTTATAGTACAGATTATAAACTAGTTCAGAAGGTGTGTCCTGATTATAACTACCACAGCGACACGCCTTACTTCCCTTCAGGTTGAAGAGAACTGCGTGTCTGTGACTGGACCCTGAGGAATAAATCATTATTATTAATAAAAAAAGAAAGATAAAAAGAGGTCATATGACAGGGCTGTAACCTCAAGGAAGAAGGCCACATCTCTTTCCTGGAATGTGTCTACACTCTGCTGCTGATGTCAACGGGTTGCCAGTACGTCTGTGGAAACCAATCTCATGCCATTTCTGCTCAGTCAGCTCCATGTATATCTCCCTGGCTGTAAATCACTATGGATTTTAAATAATGCCACACACAATTTCTCTCTCCCTCCCTCTCTCCCCCTTCTCCTTCTTTACAGCTCACATGTATTGAGATTCCTGTTAAAGAGGGCTTTCATTGTCTGATATATAATGTTCCAGGATAACCTATCATCAAGGCAAAAAGGATTAACTAGACAGAAAATGTTTTCTAACATAGACTGTTATGGAAATCTCGTTTTACGTCTTGAATACATGATAATCGATAATCCCCTCTCATGCATTCCACCACTTGGAGTAGTTGTATCAGTAAATAATTCTGTAGGAGTAAATGCTTGTTAAAAGATGGGAGCTGGGAGGGGATATGTGTATGTCAAGTTCAGTATTCTTCTCTATGAACACAGCAAAGTGAAATGACTTTCTTCCAGCACACAGTGGGCACATTCAAGGTAGTGTTAGGTGGTTCTTTTTCCACAGAGGGAGCCTGTTGAACTAATAAAGATGAGCAACCATTGGAATTTACATGTGACCAGACTTTATGATTTTTGTATTTTGGTAGTTGTCACTTGAAACAGGTAGAAACAAGACTAGCCAAGATGCTCTTCAAGGAAAGAAAATAGGTAACATGTAAGTTGTAAATGACTGTCTTATCTTTATTACAAAAAATATTGTAACAAATTCAATATCCTAGTCTTCATTTGTATGAATGGTTTGTATTGTACATAGTTTAACCAGTGTTATTTGAGCTGCTTATTAATATTAACTCGTAATTGTCTCTCTGCTTGTTATTGGTTAAAAACAAAACAAGGAAACGAGGAATCCATTTTATCAATGTAGCTGTAAACTCCATTTAAGAAGACAGAATTCTGTACAAAGCATTTATTCAGCTAAAAGTATTGTTGAAAGCTATACACTTACAACATTTACAGTCTGTCTGTACTTAGATCTTTTATTTCCAGGTGAAAAAGATTGAAATGTACATACAAATAAAATACTTAAATTCGAGTTTCAATATGCACTCTGTAGATGGTGGCTTAAGTAGTGTGGGCTGAAGACTGGCTACACAATGGCAGTGGCCTCTTTTGTTGTCAGACATATTTGCAGAATATCTTCAACTCTGACCCTGCAAACTGTTCCCTATAGGCCATTTTCTCTATCTGGTATTTGTGGCCCTTTTCAGGACACAAAATTGTATCATCCATACCTTATTTATGCTCATGACAACCCTGGGATAGAAGTTTGAGGAACTCAGTAATGTGATAAGATCAGCCCCATGCAACAGAACAGGGTTGCTGCTGATTTCCTCTGTATGTGTGTGTGTGTGTGTGTGTGGGAGGGGGATTTATACTACAGCAGGTGGACAAGCAGGATAAGCAGAATCCTTCCCCCCACAGAAGTGACCCTTTCCAACCATTTTTTTTTGCTGATGAATCTCAGAATCTCACTGGAAATAACCCCCAGTGAGAGAAAGACAGGGTATAAGCTATGGGGGGCAGCCCTAAACGGTGGGGGTGGGTAGGTAAGCACATGTGCATTTAATTACCATCCTGGCATTATAGTTAATCAGCACAACTTGCATTCTGATATGCAGGCCATGCTACTGCAATATCTAGTTACCCTCATTCAGCGGTCCCTTAAAAACACCACCAAGTGGAGACTGCTCTATATTACTTCATATTTATTTATTTATTTATTTTTGGATTTGTATCCCGCCCTCCCCGAAGGCTCAGGGCGGCTAACAAGGGCATAAATGCCAGGTTAAAACAGTAAAAACAGTATAAAAAGTGCAGTAATAGAATACAATACAATCAATAAAACATCGGTGCTCCACTGATCACTCAATTCATAAAACCAAGATGGTGTTCTGGAGGTGTTATAACAGAACAACAGCCATATATGTACCCGCAGCCCTGTCATCCACCAGGAACATCTCGCACCCCCGATGATAACTGCTTAAGCGGTGGTAAAGTGCGGTGATGGAAAAAGCGGTGGTGGAATAATGGTGGCGGCGGCTCCTACTCAAAAGCCTGGCGGAAGAGCTCCATTTTACAGGCCCTGCGGAACTGCACAAGGTCCCGCAGGGCCTGGATCTCTTCTGGGAGCTCATTCCACCAGGTAGGAGCCGCCACCGAAAACGCCCTGGCCCTGGTAACAGCAAGTCATATGAGGGGCTCTTTGTGCTGTCCCATTGATTTTTGGCATGTAACAAAGAGAAGTGGATCAGATGGTCTTTGTTTGCCATCATATGCACATGCAAACACACAATGCCATCTATCACTGTTTTTCCTGCTCAACAATCCTGATAGTAGGTTAAGCTGAGAGATGGTGATCTGCCCAAAAGATTCCCAGTGAATTTCATAGCTGAATAGCGATTGAACCCAGGTAATCTTAGTTCATGTCCATCATTATATCCTCTGCTACATACCACTTTCAAGTTCTTTCAGTATCTCAGCATGTTTTATTGAAAATATGTTTCTAGGACATATGACCATAAACAAGCTGGGCTCCCTAGCCCAGCCCTGTCGACTCCTTGCCCCCCATCCCTTGAATGAAAACATGACACCACTGTTTGGGTTAAACTAAGATTTTATTTAAATGCCTGATCTGCAACTTAATTAACTCTTAAAGTGGGCTTGCAATGCATACCTCTTGGCAAGACCACCCCAGCTCCAATCTGGATGTAGAATTTATCCAAATCCATCTCTTCAATGCCTGCACCAATGTGCATCGAGGGGAAAGAGAGACACAGTCCACGCCCATGACTGCCCAGCCTTAGGGCCTGCTGTATGCCCCCCAAACCCCCCAGGAGGTGCTCCCCGGACCACCCAGGCTGCCTAGCCAATAGGTACCCCAACTGAGCAACCCCCCTTTCCTGATGCATCGGGATGCTTGCCAACAATTGTCAACTCCTTTTGGCAGCCACTCTCATGCCAGTTTTTCCCTATCTTGCTTCTTGAGATCCCTTTTCAATGAAGATGCTGAGAAAGCCAAGATTTTTATGCATGATAAGCATGGATTTTACCATACAGTTAAAAGCAAAAAAAGCCCATATTTTCATGCGAAGAAAACAGTCCAGGGCTGATAGCAATAGACTGAGAATGAAACTTGTTTGATGAATGTTTACTCATTCTTGGATTTGTATCCTGTCATTCTGTCTGTGGAAAAATTATGTTGGTAATAAAGTAAAAATCAGAGTTCCCAGAATCCCCAAAGTCAATGCAATAGTAAAAGCACAAAGAACAATTTCAGTCTAATTAAATACCTATTTAAATTTTAAAAAATAATTTCTCCAAATTGGTGTCTGTAGAAGAACTGTCTTAGTATAGTCTTAGTATAGGGTTGCGAAGAGTCGGACTTGACTGTGCGACTGAACAACAACAAAGTATAGGAACTATAGCAGAGAAAGCCCTCCTCCATATTGTCATTTATGTTGGGTCATAGAGTAGATCTGCCATGATTTCAGTCAGCAGGAGGGTTCATATGGAAAGTGTTTTTCAGTAAACAATGGTCCCAAAGAGTGTGGCAGGGCAAAAGTGTACCTTGCAGTGTTAAGCCATGATATTGAAATATCTACCACCCAGATACCCTTGGCAGCATTTATTTCCATCTCTCTTTGACAATACATAGGCACTGACTTTCTCCCAAGGGAGGCAGCATGGATATTCTGGGATTACCTGACGCAAACGATACTATAGTGGGGATCCCAGAAACGCCACCATTGCTCTCAAACAGCCATCCCAACCCTGCCCATCATGACTGGGCAAAGAAGAGGGTGCAATGTCAGGAGAAATTATTATTGCCTCCTGTATCAATCTTCTGAAAAAGAAAAAAAAACCCTTGGCCCTTTTGATACCTTGTTTCAAACCTTTTAGTTTCTTGGTACTGAAGCTTTACATACTATAAAGCACTATAAAGTAAAATGAATTTTTAACTGAGAACTCCAGCCATCATTGAGACTGATTTTAGATTTTTCATTTTGTCCCTATATTTCATTCTGGGTAGGTGAGAATTCCCCAGTGTTCGTTACAGGCCCCATCTACCTCCCAGACATTTGCAGACATAGCTTTACATACTGGGAATCATGAGTTTTCTGTGGATAGGATTCCTCGGGACTGTGATGCTGACAGGGAATGTGCTATCTCTGTTTCAAATGAGTTCACTATATAACTTTCTAAATACATTCAGTGACATTTTTTTTCCCTGGAAGTAACTATTTGCTTCTTGATGTTATTTTTGTAGCTACTGTCATGTGTTGTGTGATGGCATTCAAGTAGCAAAAACTACATACTAATCCTTTTTTCTTGATTTAAAAAAAACATTTATTATTGATTTGCCTTGTCTAGTTCCTTGCTGCACTGTGGGTTTTTTTATAGTCATCCTATCTTAGACTTTATATATCTAGTCAAGTGACTGGTCATTAGACCTGTTATCCTTAAGTCTCTAGCTAGACCGAATTATGCAATCCAAAGTGAGTGGGACAATATATTTTTAGAGTAAAAAGTGACAGATTAACAGTGTAGTCCTAAACAGAGTTGCACCCAGGACCAGCATTTCAGCATGTTCTGCTCTGCAGTGGGAGGACAAAAGTTTAAAGAAGTTGTGACCCCAGGTGGAAATCATTCCATCTGCAGAAGTGCTTTATGGGGGTCAATGGACGGTAAGGGAATAACTCTCTTTAGGACTGAACTATTAGCATCTTTGATACAAGATTCTAATTGAAACTACTCAGTTATGTGACTGCTAACTACCGTTACTTTACAAACTGAAAAATACAGGATCTGCACATTGT